AACATTGAGGGCAGTACAAATAAACCGCTGATTTAATTAGAGCTGCAATAGATTTAATGGATGATTTATGGAAAAAATCTCATCCTGCGTTAAAACGCGGTTTGTACAAATTAATATAAATGAAATTGTGTTTATTAAAACAACTATTAAATAATTCGGAACTTTTAGGGCTATCGTCATTACAGCCAAAAGTTGAAACTATTGCAGCTTCAATTGGCATACAAATAAAATTTCCTAACTTGGTTGAGGAGATTTCTGATGACAAACACATGGAACTTGAAGAAAATGATGGTATACTATTTACGTAAATTTACTCTCGTATTTATCTATGGTCATCTATAATTTATGTATAAATATTTTAATTTAGATGGGAATAATGGCAATTCCAGGTCTGGTGTATTGCCAATATCAAAACAATCGAAGGATCGCCAGTTACGTTCTACGACCGTGCAGTCTCGTAACACTGCGAATGAACCAACAACCACTTCTACATCCGACGGAGAAGAAAACGAAGAAGAGACTACACCACCACCAGTTTTACCCACAAAACGCGTTAAAAGAAAAATTATTGTTACTTCATCTGAAGAAGAACAAGAAGTAGAGCAACCGAATAATCGAAAAAATCGGTCATCACGTGCTGCACGTTCTCTGGCACAACGAACAACACCACAAGCTTCTAGGCATAAAAGTGCTTCAAGTAATAGCGAGTTACCAATAGAAGAAGATGGTAGCACTCAGAATAAAACACCTCGTTCAAGAACGAGGGCGGTCACGGCTCAAACGACGTCCTCAAGATCTGCAATGAATACCTCTCAGCTTTCAGGTGGCAAACGTAAGAGTACTATTCCAACTGCGTCACGGAAGAAGCAACCAAAAGTTTCCGAAGAATCGTAAATTTTAATCCTTTATGATAACGAATTAAAGTTGGCATAGAGACAATTTGGACTGTATTTATGTATTTTTCTTTAAAAAAAGCTGTGTTATAAACTAATTGTATTTTTTGAATAAATATATCTATGAAGCAGTATTTTATGAAATATATGGTTCATTAAATTAATTTCTCGAATTTTATAATTTAAGATTAATCAAAATTTCACTGCCAAGTATTAGTTGAGGTTAAATTGCATGTCTTGAAAACTTACGATTCACTAAAACTATAGATCAAACCGTCTCAATCTGATACCTCAGTCAATCAAATCATTTCCTATATACAACCATTTCAAACATACATATCTATGATCTGTTAAATTATAGTTATTAAACTATAAATAACAGTAAAAAAAATAAACTACAGTATATCCCGTCAAAACTGGTATGCATGGTAGACAAATTCTTCTTCAGCTTGGTGGATCAATTTTTCATCAGGTGTATACCTCTCGGTAGAGCTTGGATCCGGTCATCCGTTTTCATATTAAATTTAACGGATATCCGTTAAATTTAATATGAAAACGGATGACCGGATCCAAGCTCTACCTCTCGGAAATGAGGCTAACGGTTCAACTAATAACAAGGAGTCACGTGAGCACGGAGACAAAAAAAAAACGTGCAGAGGTTGTAAGGATATAGACAAGCGAGAGGGTTTAGTTGGATAGTAATTTAGCAATTTACGAAAGAATCCGTGATTGTAATTTTTATAGAATCAAATAAAGAGTGTTCTTTATTAAGTAATATGTATTAATTATAAAATGCTATGGCAAGCATGCCTACAAAGTGGAGCGAAACTCACCCATTTATATAATCTCATATGTTGCTTGATCCACTTAATTCCCTTGTGCTATAACTGCACAATGGGCACATGTGGCACATTCAGCAATAACCCTGTGATATACTACTTAAACCAGGGTTGAATTAACAAGGGTAACAATCTCTACTAAATTATGAGTTTCACAAGTTATTATAAAAGGAAGTGATAATCAGATAACTTTAGATCTCTGATCATTCTTAAGTTTAAAATTGTCATCCTAGCTATTTGATTCACTTCCCAACTTTTGAAAATGTAGTAGATTTGTTCTATAGTATATATAGCCTAGAACCAACATTATGTGACCAAAAGTGGCCAAAATTTTAAAATTTTTTATTATAAAAATTTTCGTACTACATAAAGATTAACCAATTAAATTTTAGTATAATAAAAATTTTTAAAAAATTTTATATTAATAGCCAAAATTTAAAATATATTAGATATATTGGCTAATATCTTAAGTTTTTTTAAGTTAAGAAAAAAAATTTTTTTGTAAAAATATAATATAAAGTATAAATAATTAATTTATAGAAAACTTTTTCTATTTTTTTTTTTTTTAATGTTGACAGGTCTGGCTATGACTAATTTTATTTATTAATAATATTTATCCCTTAAATTGTTTTGCAGCCAAATTTGCCTGCAAACTTTTTTAAATTTTAAATTTTTCTAATAAAATTTTAA